TCTCTCTCGCGATCATGAACCCAAACTCGGGCAATTAGTCTTTCTTCTATCACTGTCTTTCACTGGTTTCAGTCATTTTGCCCACAATCTGAAAAAAGGAAAAAAATTAAGGGTTTTAGAGAAAATTTTATTTTATGTTAAGGGACTTAGTGGCCACCCTGTATATATCTCCTCGCCGTGGTGGTGGTCCCTGGGAGGGAGCGAAAATGTAAAAATCTCACATAAATAGACATATCAATTTCGCTTATATCAGAAGAATCTGCAACAATCTGCAAGAAACTCTACTGGCTCGCTAGCGACGGTAAGTAAGCCCTACGCACTATCTTAATTTGAAAACCGAATTCTGCAGAATGATTTTGCAATTTAAACTTTTAGCAATTTTCCAGCAGAAAAATGAGAGGTTTTACTCAGCTAAGGACTAGCTTATTTTTCCTAACAAGTAATGGAAGGATCATAATAGTATAACTGGCAAGGTTGATCATCAGTTGATCATCATGAGAGCATCTACTTTTCGTGATTTCATAATGCCAATTTCAACTTACCAGCAGCTTCAGCCATCTCGTTCTGTGACTTCTCTAAAACGTGATATCGAACATCAAAAAGTATGCAAAAATTTTCTCTACAAGAGCGCCATCTAGTGACGAAAATAAGTATCACCGGAATAAGTCATTCCCCTCACTGAGACTGGAATCTTCTGTACCTCCCACTCCGACGCTACGAACTGTTGGATGGAAATGAAAAACTTTTTCTTGGTACTAAAATCCTCAAGTCAGTCCAAAAAAAAGGGGAAAAAGTGACTTGCTGAGGGGAGTGACCCCCTTCTCCCAATTTTTTTTGGGGGACTGAGTCCCTCCTGTCAAATTTTTGGGGAGGCCCGAGCCCCCAAGCCCCCTCTATGAATCGCCGCCTATGGCTTCAGTATCCTCTGTTAGCAGTGAGTTCATAGCAGTCTTGGCCATGCAATAATCCCATATTATATACTCTCATGATTCTTGACTTTAGTTATACCCTGTACAGGCCGGACATAAAGTCCATGAGGGATTTCACGTCCGCATATCTTGGGAACGGGGTGGCGTAGAAATAATAGGCCTTTGCATCATTTTAAAGGTTATCTCTGAAAATATTTTATGGCACACATATCACACTTTCACGTGTCCGTATCTTTGTCAACACATGACCATAACTTTCTTGTGAGCTTATCCATAACTGCCTCCGATTGGGCAGGTGTGATGTTCCGGACTGCTCTCTCGAAGCGTGTGCGCAATTCAGTCACGCTTCTTGGGCGCGTGGCATGCACGATGTTCTTCCGATGGATCGGACGGGAAGGTTTCATCCCATGACCTCCCGGGTCCCCAGACTTGAGTCCTATGGACTTTTTGTGGGGACATGTAAAGAACATCGTGTATACCACACGCCCACGAAGCGTGGCTGAATTGCGCACACGCATCGAGAGAGCGGTCCGGAACATCATATCTGCCTCTTTGGAGGCAGTTCTGGATAATTTCACACTAAGGTTGCATGCATGCGTTGACAAAGTTTGTGGACATGTGGAAGTGTGAGATGTGTGATATGGTGCATTCTAAACAATTTTTTTTTTTTTCAGAGAAGACCTAACAAACAGTGGCGGCTCGTCAGGGGAGGCAAGGGAGGCCCGGTCTCCTCAAAAATTCTCAGGAGTCCCTTCCCCACACAATTGTAAACATCCATCAGCATAGCAAATAACTGAAATAAATCTCTGGATTGGATTCATTCTCGATCGACACAAAACGAGCAAAGTCCAGTCTGACATTTTACTCCTGCTCAGAATCGCTAGCAAGAGCTAGCATGTCTTTAGGCTCCTTTGCCTCAAGTAGAGTTTTTCGGTCATCTCAATTCGCATAGCCAATTTATATCTACGCAGTCGTCATAGATGAAAAAGACACTATATATTTCATACATAATTATGATATTCGCTTGGTGTGCTATCAATAGATGCGATTTGGTTTAGAAGTTGTGCGAGGGGAGAAAGTCGTCAGACCACTACTTTCATCCTCGGGCCGGATGCGCCGCTTCTCGTTCAAGTGTTCAATGGGAGTTTCAATTTCCACTCCGCTCGTGCGTGATTTCCATACAATATAAACTGTAAACATGAAACGCTTTCTCGCTCGGCGACTGACCTAAGCACACCTTTCGTGCTTCATGCCCCCATTAATACGTGTACTACAATGAATGCTTGCTCATTATAGAGATCATGAGCTGGCCTCCCCAGACTTTTCTTCCACGAGCCGCCACTGCTTTCAAATGATGCATATTACTTATTTCTGCGCCCCCTCGTTCCCAAGATACGCGGACACGAAACCCCTCGGGGACTTTTGTCCATCCTGTATATACTAGGTACCTTGCCACCATCCACTGGCACGATCTATGCAACCTTGCCAGAAGTACAGCGATGCCCCTCCTCTTACATTTGCACTTAATGGAGTTTCACTCCGGATACTCTTAATGAAAGAGGGCCCCCGTCCCTTAGACTCCTCTGGGTCTCAATTCCAGCCTCGTGTATTTTTTCCCCAACCCCGACAGTACACGTCACGCTCCGGTTGGTGCAACTGGTATCTTTGAACGCCGGCGTTGCCTAGTCCACCACTACCTGTATACGCGGAGAACTCGAATACCGATTCACAAATCACATCGATTCCTACGATGAATGCAATCCATATAAAACTGTAAAATTGGGGAGGTTGAGCGGTAAGCAAACCCATTTCGTTTCTCGACACGTGATATCGAAACGGGTGAAATCGCCTCTTGATATCACTATCTTGAATCTTGAATCTTGGATCCTCACCGTGTCAAACCCGGAGCAACATTCGCAATCTGCCACTGTTCTGCGGTGTCATGAGTCTGCAAACGTATCCACATTTTAACCCTACAATGCATGACTTTTCTAAATGTACCAAAAACATTTTCGACGATCATATTTTTCCATGTGGTTGATGAGAAAAATAATGAAAAAATTATCATTTCATTTTGGTTTTTCCATTGTACCTCTCAATACCTCTCAATGCGAAGCAGAGCGTGCCATATCTGGCACGCCATGCTGTGTAGGGATAAATCTAGACAGCACGTGCGGATATGGGGGGAGGGGGGGATTAAGGGATTCAAGCCCCAGCCAGATAATAATAAAAATTACTTACTACTCATCTGTATCTTTTGAGGCACTTCTGAGGAAATGACCTAAGCCAAGAAGTTAATGCAGTACCTTTGTATAAAGTATCCAGGCATCAGAGAGCGAGCAGATCTTTGGACACCGACAAAGGGTGACAACTCCGGTCTCTGAGGCGTGACAAATGACCGTGTAGATGGGGTGTCATTGTGTCCCCCACGGAGTCGGGTATATCTCAGAGTGCGTCAGTGCTGCCAATTTTTTTTTTCCCAGTGAAAGCAAATAAAATATAACATGCATCAAATCGCTTAAACTTACAAATTGTACAATAAAACACTTTATCACCCTACAGTCGACCGAAGACCTGCCATTCTATTTTCGTATGAAGAGAGATGACTAGTTTCCAAATCATTATGGAATTTGGAATAATCACTTTCTATTGGGTGAAGTATCTGAACCGTCCGTATCACTCTCTTGAATATCTCTGGGGATGATGCAATACGCACTTTCCCACGAGCGAAAGTAGGCCATCACAGATCGACAACACTTACACAAATCTGAGCTAGCAAACTCCTAAGGCAAGTCAACTCAGTTCGCCTGGACATAGATAATCCCCATCAGTTGTCTCATTTCTCTTCGATCTTGTCATTTTTACAAAGGACCGGACAAATTGTTCATAATGGCAGCTAGGGTTCTTATCTCCAACTAGCTCTCTAATGCCTGGATACACTATATTAGCGTTTCGCAAATCCGAAGCACCAAGTTCTCCCAAATAAAATTCCTGGATTCACCAATGGTTGAGTAAAATAAAAAAAATCATTTCGCTAGCAAACACTAGTACAGGAATAACTCCATTCGTCTTGGCCTGAAGTTGCTTGGACAGCTCTCGCGTTTAGTTTTCATGTTTATCTTCTCTCCTCCACATTTCTTCTGTTTCAAATACAGGAAAACCTCGTTAATTCGAAATCCACGGGACCAAAAAATACCGACTTCGAAATAAGCGGGTTCGAATTATCCGGTTTGGCCATTGTTATTTTGTAATATTGTACTATTCAGCCGGATTTTGTACAGTAATACAGTATTAAATTCGCGTGTTTTGCGCCTCGTATTCTCTTCCTTATGTCGGTTTCATGGCCTCCTGCCAGCTTTTCAATGGTGCCACGATTTTTAAGAAATGTGGATAAAGTTGAAAGCGGTATGTCAAATTCTCTTGCGATAACGGTCTTCGATTTTTCTTTATTGTCCACTTCACAACTTATTAAATTAACAACAAATTAACTTCCAACTTCTGTGAATTACTTAACTCGTTGCACTTCCTCTTGTTCGCCATTCACCCCCGTTTCGCTCGCAACACAGAGGGAGAGAGATTGTGCTGCCACAATGCAGTTTTTTGACTGAAGGTCGTACAAGGTGTGAATGAGATAGGTAAGGGTAGAGGGAGAGATTTAGTGAAAGGGGGCATTAGTCTATACTTAAGAATTATTCTGAATAAAAAGAAATTAAGTTTCCAAGGCAATTAGCTGGCTTTGCAGCCATTTAGAGGGCGAAGTTTGGCACACCCGTAGTTCGTAGGGAAAAGTGCCCTTCAAAGTAAACGAACACGTTTCTGAGTTTACAGCTCACTGGACCAGAAAATGCCTTCGAATTTCAAAGTATCCGTATTACGAATTATCCATGCTATAAAGTGTACAAATCGCTATCCTCTTGGACAGGGAATGTAAATGACTTCGAACTATCCAATATCAAATTAACGAGGTTTTCCTGTAATGACAATTACTTGCATGATTGTGACCAAAGCAACAACATACCATCTTCTGTTCAGTAAACCTTTCCTGCAGCAGAGTAAACCCATACAGAAAGTGGGAAATGAGAATATAGCAATTTTATTTTTGTATTGCATGCGGCAAACATCCTGGCATTGGGAATGCTTTTGATTCCCATGCATCATGATAAAACTTCAGTTACTTCTTCAGGGCAAACATAGAACATCCTGAACATGTTTTTCATCACAGGGCAACATGATATGAGAAAACAATTCCATAAAAACGCATTCATCAAAAGCTATCTTCAAAATGTCATGCAAACCTAGCACACACAATATGAAATTCCAGTTTTGGGGAGGTAAGTCTTATTTCCAGCACCACCTCACCATGGACGGCACATAACTAAATCACCATAATCAAGATGCAGAAGGCAAAACCTCAGACCTAATTCTGCAATCTATAGGAATTCAATTAGCATGGTTCACATTGTTACTTTAATCAATCTAAAACCACATGCAATACTAATCAAGCTCTCAGTGAGATGATGCAGGAAACCAGAATAATTCAAATAAACATCAATATACTATACGCTGAATTGCTACAAATCACATATACCAGATCCTCAAGCAGACATTGGTTGTCAATAATGGAAAAAAATACTGATGAAAAGTAATCATATACAGAAAGAGAGACCCAAAAGAAGGAAGATGCTTAAAAAGTGAAATCAAGACACTTAAAACTTCTGATAGTACAGAATCATGCTTTGTTCTGAATCGGTCAGAGAATGACTAGCAAGGGGGAATGCTGACCAGCACAGAATGAAAGAAAAACAATAGAACAGTACCACATCAAGGCACACAAACAAATGATAAAATTCACAAGAAACTCTATGGTTGGATGGAATATGGAAACAGGATGAAAGAGAGAGATCAGGGTAATTATGAGAGAGTAGACGAGAGGAATGAGGGCTGTCATGGTATGGAAGCGAGTGAAGGCTTGCTGTCCTTTTGCTTCCTCAAAGTTGTTTCAGGAGGAGTTGAAGGAGACAAGGATGGCATGCGCTGGTAGTTGTCCAGCATCTCATTTGAAGGGCGGCTGTGATTCAGATGATCATATGCTGGACCATCTTCTATCCCTGCATGACAAAGACAAGGAGAAATCAATACATTATGCTCAAGGTTGAAGTAAAACCAAAAGTTGAGACTCTTACCTGAGTCTGCCTCTCTCTTTTGCACTTTGATGTCCTCATACAGATGCTCAGAGTTTTTGGCTTCTCCTTTCAATTCTTCAATTGAGGAATATACATTTGGATTTGTTCGATCGGCTTCCCTCATCTTTGCCCTGAGAGATCCCTTTGGGTAGTCATATTCAAAGACTTCTCCATCTGCTCCACCACAGGCACCTTTACCAAATGAATGAGAAAATCAAGGAATTGATTTTCATATAAATATTATAGCATTCTCAGTAATTGGACAGTCAAGGCACTTCTGGTTGGTCTTTCCTATTTTATCATCTAGAGCAAAAGAGGAGATTGGTGGGGAAAAAAAAATTGGCTTCACTCATTGGCAACAGTTCCATTTTATTTTACAAGGATAAATAAAACACGACAGTGGGCAATAAACGAGTAAAAGGAAAGATGAAACAGCCAGTAAAGGGAGCAAAATAGTAAAAAAGAAGCTTTTAGGTAAAGATATCTTTGGGAAGAAGGAAAGAGACTCGGCAAAATCACAAGGAAGAAGGAACAAGAGGACAACCATCAAGGAAAAACATTTGCACTAGCAAATGTAAGAGTATTCAGAAGTTTTAATTAAGGTCAATAAGTCAGATTCCAGGAGTAGTTGGTTATTGCCACTCCCTGAATTGTTAGGAATGATCTTGCTCCCTCAGCTCTGTTTATTTTAGCTGCAATTCTTTTATTAATACTTTTCAACCTTTTATCTGCATATCAGTTTATATAGCTAGATATGACTTGTATCATAACTATACACTGCTTAGGAACATAACATAACCTTAATTAACAGTCTTATCTCAGATGATTAGGAGTTTATGGATTCTTAAAGGACCATTAACTAAAGGAGGTTTCAGCATTTGGGCCTTAGTTTTATGAGGTTCCTCCAGACTCTCCATGATCCAAACAAACTCTGTGCCAATAAAAGTGTCCTGTTAAAGTCATAGGAGTCATAAAGAGCCAAATTGAAACCATTTTAAATTGAAACATAGTTTCCAAACTCTGAAAGGATTTGTTCAAAGTGGTTTCATTATGCATCCAACATCTAACAGCATTTAACAGAAAGATGCAGTGCCCTCCAGTACTAACACCAAATGAAATATTAGGTAGATTAAACAAGTCAAACTGGTAAGAGAATCAAGTGACAATATCAATGGACCTTTCAGTGTTTGAGTTTCTAGTTCCTGCTCCTTCCTAGCTCCTAAAGTGCCAATACCCAACAAGAGAAACTAGCGCTTACAAAGGCAAATGAAATGCATGGTATCAAGCTTTGAAACACTTAGTCAAAGGACATATCTGATGGAATACCATGTCAAGGTTATCAATGGTAGAAATAGCTGACTCAGTTGTTTCTTTGACTCAGTTTGACCATGACTGTTTTTTTTTCTGTTCCAGATGGAAGAGAAAAAAAAACTGAGGCAGTGGATATCAAAGACATATAAGAAAGAGAAAACCCTTTCACTTAATGAAGAGAGCAACAACTCAAAGGGTAGCCCTACCTAAATACACTTCACCACTAACAGTTCACAGTAACAACATACCTTTCTCTGCGTTGTCTTCATCACTGTTGTAATGATCATCATCTAGAGATGCTCCTTCTCCAGGAGGGATTCCAAGTTTTGACCACTCCAAATTTATATTCTCTTTCATGCTTGGAGGATTGTTGAGATTGTTGTGCACACGAACGTTGTTGAGCTTTACATCTGGCTTTGATGTTGCTTGGTATTCATACACTGGGTTGTCAAAGTGTCGCTGATCTGAATACACAATATCCAGCAAATATGGCTGGAAATAATGAAATGAAATGGTGAAATGAGGAATATGAGTGAAGAATGCTCACCAGGAGGAGGAGCATTGTGAAAGTAGACTTGCTGGAGCTCAGTCTTGAGATGGTACAGTCTTCGTCTGTAATAGAACATGAGTCCAGCTACTACCAGGATAACCAGAAGTGTCACCACAATGCCAGCTATCAATCCACCACTGCTTGAGCCCTGGATCTCCCGTGACTCAGGATGAGGTTGAATGTTTGGCAGCACCACAGGAATGTTGCATTCTTTGCCTGGTAATGGAAAGAACCTTCAACCTCAGAAGGGACATGAAAGGATGCTTCATTAAAAATTAGGTAGTGTTTGGCTGACCTGTGTATCCTGCTCTGCATGTGCAACCTTCTACTGGATGGCAGCGGAAATTCTGATTTGGGCATTGGCATGCTTGAATACAGTGATCTCCAAAGTAGCCCTCAGGACAAACTGGGCGAGACCAGAATGAAAATTCACCAAAAAGGAATATATCAATCAAATTCTGTACAGTCAAGAAGTGGCTAACATACCTTCCTGACAGTGAGGACCCATCCATCCAGGAGGACACCTGCATTGGCCATCATTGGCCCTACACTGGCCTCCATGCAGACAAGTACATTTCTGTAAACAGCCAAGGCCAAAGGTACCCTCAGAGCAAGGCTCCTCACATGTTTCCCCTCTCCAGCCAGGCACACAAACACATTCTCCTGCAAAGTCAGAATCAGTGTTGAATCTCAATGAAGCACAAATTCAAATGGTTCATGAGAGAACACAAATCTCTGAAACCCACCAGTGATATGATTGCAGTCTGCTTTATTCTTGCAGTTGCATGTACCCAGACACCTATCCCCAAAGTGACCTTTAGGGCAGGGCTCATCACAATTCAGGCCTGTATAACCAGGTTCACACGTGCATTGTCCCGTCACATGGTGACAAGTTCCATTTCCTGCATAAAGCCATATGCAATTTTCACTTTTAAATGAAGGACTACTTCATCACAGCATAAACTTCAGAAATTAGATTTTGGACTTCCCCAAATTTTAACCTCACTAAATTTTTAAGTTGCAATCAAAAAGTATTACTATATAGTATAGAGAACAAGCAAAATGGGGAGCCACTATTGATCAACTCTGTCATAATCAGATGGATGCTTAATCCAGTCTATTAAAAGGGATGCATTAAAGTTTTAAATGATAAATCCTAAGTTATAACATACAATTAAAAGTACCATAGATAAGACAAAAAAGTTTTACTTTTTCTTAGAATTTTCAAGATAGAAAAAATGTAATATGGATTCAGGAAATAAGCACAGCCATCATCCAAACAAACACTGCTGCAAATTCAGAGCTCTCTACATTAAACTATACTGGAATAGATTATTAGTACACTTTTAACACTAACACTTACATCCATGTGGCCTATTACAAAGACAACAAAGTCATGAAAGAAACTTCTCAAAAGACAGAAGTTGGGGTATATCAGACTCATAAGTTATTACTTAATTACTACTAACTGAATCATTCATTAATTTTCATTCCAACTCTTTCACTTGATGCCTAGTTTCTCAGTATAATGGCCAGAAGTGACTCAAATTCTCATTTGTCTCATGCTGTCTAATTTTCTCTCTTTACATTACAACACAGAATTTTCTAAAATCTGCAAATTGTAAAAGCTGCAACTTCACATAAACAAAAACAGTATCATGCAGCTCACTTCATATCAGATGCAAGCACTTCCTGAAATTTCTAGAATAAAACCTTGACATTGAAGCTTGGCACCTTGTAACCCTTAAAATAAAATTTAAAAAAAGTATCAAATATATATTTCATTAACAAAATTCAGGCTTCTACTGGATAACATTAACAATATATAATTATATATATTACCATGTAATTTATATTATCAGGTATTGCTATAATATATGGCATAAACTCAACATTGCATTTTGATTGAGCTGACAAACATAACCCTTTTGGCTCAGCTAGGACAGTGAAGGAGTTCAGACTTTCAGCTATGAATCAAACCAGATTATTTCATACAAAGCCTCAAAGGCCAAAACAGTGGCAAAAAGAATAAAATGCACTTATATCAAATGATCTGAAATTGCCAAACGGTAGTTGGACTGAGAAACTGGTTTTATTTTTTTCAGAGGTTCTGAATGAAGGTAATAACAACCCTTCACCAAATTAACCCTTCACCATAACACCACTCAAACAATTCCCTGCACCAGAGCCATTCAAGTGAAAAACTGAAATCAACCAAGTTAATTTTTATGCTGAAATGGAGCAGTTAGTCAAGTACTGGGTGCAGATCTCCAAGAGGGAAAGGCAATGGATAAATTTTTCTGTGGTATTACTCTCACTGAAGTGAAACAAACTCACGAAAATGAGACTCCTCCTCCCCTGTACAAACGGAAGAGAGTGGGTGAAACGATACCTGGCCTCATTCTCTTACTTTTGCCATTCCATTCTCATATTTACACTGCAACATAGAGCATTGGAGGAGCTCTCTCACCATGGTAGCAAACAGGACAAGGTTCTTCACAATTCTGTCCATAGAATCCAGCAGAACATGGTTGATTGCAGTTGGGTCCAGTCCATCCCCTCTCACAAACACATGTACCGGCACGTGGATGACAGGAACTGTTGTTCTGACATTCGCAACGTTCATTGCAATTCTCACCAAATCGACCTCTTTCACATTGACTTTGACATCTAACCCCTGTGAGAGGACAACACACCTTGTCATAACAGCAAGGTCAAGCCAGAATTTATTATTTTCAAGTATTTAATTCTTATTTTCTAGTGTCTTTCTAATACAGGAACAAAGCTTGGACAATAATGACAATTTTTTTATATTATCCCTAAACAAAAAGACAAAAAGTCAAAATGCAATGTAAGCAGATAAGATATTGGTTGATTGGAGGATCAGGACAACAGGATAGGAAACCCAGATTAATACCAATGACTTGGGGTTTATAAGCTTTAACTCGTTGGGTTTTTGTGCAGAACTTAAAACCCCAGTGGTAAGTTTTTCCGAAGAGCAGAACTTGTTAAGATACAACAGGGAAAAGATGAATACAGGAATTGTAACCACTGAAAATCTATTTATTTTAAATGGTACTGACAATCACTTGCAGCCTCTTTTCATATAATAATATTTTACTATATATACCAGAGGGTGCAACAGTCAAGGGGTTAAGAAATGCTAAAAATCCTGCGATTCTAGAATTGAATAAAAATCCCTCAAATGCCTAAAGGACTTGACCTAATCAAAATGATGGCTAATGAGATAAGGAATGCCAATTACCATGAAACCCTTTTTTGCAGAGGCATGAACCTGTTACTGGATCACAATTCTCGGTCAAATCCGACTCACAGTCGCACACTTGGGAGCAATTGAATCCAAATCTCATGTGCTGACATTTCTCCTTGCATTGTTCACCCTGATGGTCAGAAAGAATATGACACAAAATTATTCACAAATGCAGACTGCATTACATGAAAGATTATGAATCTAATGACATTAAGACTTACCTTGTAGCCAGCAGCACATGTACAGGCACCTGTGATATGATTGCATGAGGCCCCATTGTGGCATGAACATGTTTTTTGGCACTTGGCTCCATAATTACCAGCTGAACATGGCACATCACATTGCTGACCTTGCCAGCCTAAAAACATGACATTTCAATATCACATTTATTATAATTAAAAAACTAAAAATTTAACTAAGAATGATGAAACTCCATTGACCTGATTCACAGTCACAGTGGCCATCAGTATGTGAGCAGTTGGCATTATTTTTGCATCTGCATGTGAGGCTACAATTTTGACCAAATCGTCCTTCAGGGCACTTCTCTTCACACAGTGAACCTCTGTAACCTGTAGGAAGAAAAAATGTGAGATTTCAGTGAAAAGATAATAAATAAAAAAAAGAGCTGACTGACTAACATAAAAAGGACCTAACTCATCCTTTGGCATATGCCATCAGGTTTAAGCTCAAATTTCAGAGTGATGAGTGCAGCATCATAACTTATGGCTATGATGATAAGGTTCATTGAATGGCGACTTTTGAGCCATTGTTTGCTGCTTTATTTACTTATATTCTAGCTGCTACCAGTAAAATATTCACGCCTTCCTATTTGAGGTTAATCGACTTCTGCAGGAATTTTAAAAATTAGTTGCATCCCCCCCCCCCCGAATTCCCTCTATATCTAATTGCAGGGGGTTCCGTTCCATAATATTCAAATGAGACACTACGAATTTGGAACTCTTGGGCATCAGATGGAGGAGAAATGCTTCTCGTGGTTAGACTCCCAATTCCCGATGTAAACATTTTCAGCGAGTTCTCACACTGTACAATTCTTAAGGGATAATTTCACACGGCTATGCTTTGGATCAATAATAAGGGATGCGTTACTGTTATCAGGGAACCCTCAATTGGATGCATGCAAATTTTCTGCGAGTTCTGCTTCGTAGCATTCAACATTGTTCGAATTTCGAACACCCAGTATTTGATGAAGGGTATGATTTTAAGCCATGCATAGATGCGAATCAGCTCTCTTGGACCGACCCGACTTGTAGTTCGGTTGGCAATCATGTTTCCGGTCGGTGCAGGCGAATACTCTTATTAGAGGGGTCTTTTTCTCCAGCAGCTTACATCTGCTGGCAAAAAAAGATACCTCTTTCCGTCAGCAATCGATGCGATCACGTCAATGATGTCGTTCTCGGGCAAGCAGCTGTCAGCGGAACGCAATGTACTACGAGCGTGCTGAACAGGCCAGCACGAATGTGACCTCACGGGATGCTGGAAGCGTCAGCAGAGCCGTTTAGAATAAAGACGCACCCAAAAATCTCGAGTGCTGAAGCTTAGATAAGCGGGTTGCGGGCCGACCCGAAGGTCGGGTCCGTAAAGCTCGGTCTCGCGATCGAGTTTCGGGCCAGGAGGGAGCCAAGACAAGAATCGGGCCGATCGGGTAGGGTGAGGAAAAGTCACCGAAAGAAAACTGTCACCGGCTTATAGGTCTCCATGTCATTGGTTAGAATTGCCATCTTCGAATTTAACCAAACAAGGACATACGGGAAATACTGACAAATATTCCATGTATAGGCCATCCAGGCATTAAAGAGCGGGCGGATCTTTGGACACCCCACAAAGGGTGACAACTCCGGTCTCCAGGGCATTTTGAATGACCATGTAGAAGGCCTGTCATTGTCTCCCCTCGGCGTCGGGTTTATCTTAAAGAGGTGTGCGTCAGTGCTGCCAGAATTTTTTTTCGTTAGGAAGCAAAAAAAAAAAAAAAAAAACAGGGTGACATATATATCAAATAATTTAAACTTAAAAATTGCACATAAAAAAAAAACATTTCTAGAATATTTCCGGGCAGGATGTAATACGAATTTTCCTGTCAAGGCCATCATAGCTCGACAACACTGACACAAATCTAAGCTATAGTCCATGTATCGGGAAAAAGCACACTTTCGGGAAGCAAAGCAAAGGGAAGGCTAATCCTATTATAGCCTCATTCATCAACTAGGTTAAGGGAAATATTTGAGGGACCTGTAGCATGGCATGTTCAGAGACATGTCTCATTTGCAGGGTTGTTGGATTGCCTTTCACCTCCCGGGTACTTCAGGCTAATAATTTTATTGAAGAAAATCAAATCATTCATTTCCCAATATCCAGCAGAGCACCTGCTGTTATAATAGCTGAGCAACTTGCACTGACGACGAAGCGCGGAGGAAGGCAGTAACTACGCTGTTGGTACAGTCAACCCTCGATATAGCGCCACCCGATATACCGCCAACTCTTTCCTGAGAACGAATCTTCCCCATAGGCTTATCAATAGCGTTCCCCCGTTATAGCGCCACCCTCGCGAGCCGCCATCCGCCAATACCTTGCCTTGCACGAACGTGCCTTATTCAACGTAAGTCGAACTCGATACAGCGCCAAGCGGTATACCGTACCAGCTACAATGATTATACCATGCACTACCGTGGTGGAAAAAAATGACATGCTGTCAGCCTTTCCTTTTGATCGTTTGATAACGAGATTGTGAAGGATGACTTAGCTTTGGTACGGACGCCAGGGATTAAAGGGGGGCGTATGGGATCTCTTAATCTGACCTAATCCTGCTTCTCCTTTCTTTTGGAGAATGGAAACGCCTGTTTCAGTTCAAAGTTTCCCCATACGATTGTTCAAGTGTGTCCATTATCCGCCAATGGGGGAAGGGACAGTTATAAGTGTGAGGGAAAAAGTGGAAGCGTGTCGTTACAAGGAGGCGCATGCGGCCGAAAGTCAGCAAAACATTGCGAATCATTTTCAGTGTTATGGGATAAATCAGTGAATAGATGGTGCATCGGAGTCATTCTTATTGAAGTATGTAGTTTTTGTTCTCGATTGGCAGCTGTTCTCCATTGGCAGCATAGATGAATTAAAGTGGATATTTGTTGCTAATCCTATTTTACATTAGAGTTATTTCGGAAATTTTCCGTTTAAAAGCCGCGCTTTTTGATATAGCGCCAAAATCGGCGAAGACCAACAGTGGCGATATATCGAAGAGTCGACTATTTCATCTACACATCCTTGACATCGCTTCTCTTCCCCGAGCGGAAATCCACAAATTGTCCTTCTATATCAAATAACTTTTCCCCTCTCACCTCTTTGTCGGGAAGCCAAGCCTATTGTTTATTGCCTCCATTAATCACTTATTGTTTCGAGAAACTTTTTTTTTCCCCGATACATGGACTATAGCAAACTCCCGAGGCAGGTCAACTCGGTCCGCCTGCCCAAGGACGTGGATAATCCCCATCAGATGTCGCATTTCTCTTCGTTCTTGTCATCTTTACAGAGGACTGGACAGGGTTCTTATCTCCAACCCGCTCTCTAATGCCTGGATGGCCACTTGCGAATGCAGCTATGCCGCTAATTCCCACAACCACCTTAAGTAGGGTTACCATACGTCCGGATATTCCCCCTGGGGCCTATTTCATGGAATTTACAAGTTCTCCAAGTTACAAGTAATTACAAGGGTCGTGTCGTAGTCGTGCGAAGGGCCAGCGGAACCAGCTGGAAGAGTTAAACAAGACACGACCCTTGCAAGTACTTGTAACTTGTAAGACTTGTAAATTCCACGAAACGGGCCCCTGGACGTGTCTCTTTTTCGACTTCAAACTTTCGTCCGATAGCTGGGCGTCCTCTTTTTGGCTGTCTAAAATATGGTAACCCTAGCCTTAAGCCAAGGCGCCAATCGATACTATAAGTGTGTGGAATACTGCATTTGACTTATGGAAAAGCGCGAGTTGCTATTGAGTTTTATTAGTTAAAAAATAGGAAGTTTAAAATATGGGCAAAACAGTATCCATATTAAGACCAGTTTGCAGTATGGGCATTGCATCTGAATTATGTACTGTCCATACTAATTATGGCAACCGTAGAGGCGTAACTGTTTAGATCCTTCCTTTCAATTGACTCGATACCTTTTAACTTTCAGTACCACAGCAGGCAATGACTTCAGCATTGGTTCCATGGGTATATTTTATATATATCACAATACATGGGTCACCAAGACATGAATATTAACAACGTTTGCCCAAATAGTTCGAACAGCCCCAATAGTTTTAACTGTAAGGCTTACAGGGCTATAACTTTTACCTTGTTTGGTTGAGAAAAACTATAACTTTTGCTATAACCTACATTGGGTTATAGCAGAATTACTGGAATGTGGAACTACTGAACCCCAACAAGCTTAAGGAGGCAGTTTTTTTTTTTTTTTTCAATTCAACGTTTACAAAAAATTTCTTTAATGCATTTACTTTTTCCATTTAACCACATACTGAGATGCACTGAGAGATAGATCATAAGAGCTTTCACACACGGAACTGCACATTTCTGAAGCAGTGCCAGAGCAAGAGCAATTTCCTGAATTGATTCAGCACTCTAATTTCCTCAAGTGTCACATGGGGCAACGAAGCCACATCTAAAAAAAATTAATGGAGTATTTGTTTCTCAATTCTAGGAGCATTTCAGAGAAAGGGGGGAAAAACTTTTGAAAAGGAGTCACTTACCAGGAGCACAGACACAGGAGCCATCCTCAGCATTGCAGAATGCATCATTTTTACAGTCACACATATTTTCACAATTCTTGCCAAAGGTGTATGTTGGACAAGGCCTGGAACAACGTGAACCATCCCAACCAGGCTTACACCGGCAATCACCACTCCATGGGTGACAAAGTTCAGTGTTGAGGGATTCACAGTCACAAACTTTGGAGCAGTCATGTCCATAGAGGTGTGAAGGGCAAGAACGTTCCTGGCACAGTTGGCCTGTCCATCCATCCTTGCATGTGCAAGTGCCATCAATGTGAGAACAAATTCCTCCATTTTCACATAGGCACTCACCACGACAGTCCACACCAAACCGACCAAGAGGACACTGCATCTCGCACTAAAACGGGAATAACATATTATGAAGATTGGTTTGCACCCAGCTGCTATTGAACTTTATTTTGTATTTCTTTTTCTCTTGGACAGAAAGTAACTCTGAGTTCTAAAGCCAGAATCACTGAATACAGGTTAATTTTTCCACTTTTTTTTATTTATGCAACTGGAGAAGGAAAACAACTCAGTAGGTCTGAAGTATTTAAATGCCATTATCAGGTTGTTCTCAAAAAGCCAAACTTCCCTACATTTAACCAAATTAATATGGGAGAAAAAGGTGCAGTATAAGCATGAAAGTACTAAGTCAGCACCTACATTTCCAGAAAATTATTTATGTCATACATGAGCTTGAAGGTTTTTAATAGAAATTATGTTGAATCAAAATAAAACTGTCATGAACTACAAATTACAATCAACAAAGTCAAGTGCCCCCTTCCTTTCAACATGTGACATCCTAACTCCATCTGGAAAAATCCCAAGCCAAATGAAAATCAATTTACAGAATAAGGACAATCTGACTGATACCATTCAGAAGGCAATGTACAAGAAGCTATTGCTAAAAAATTATTAGACTAAATCACTTTGATTAAGAGAGACAATTGTGGAGTGTTCATCATCATCAGATACCTTAGCAACTTATTAAAAACCTTTATAAACACCCAAAAGAGCTTCATCATAAACTTGAGCAGAATGGGCATTCCTCTTCATTATCATATTTGCTAAAGGAAGGCCTTATCCATTCAGAATAAGAGTATGCTAGAATAGAATATATTCTGGGCCAACCTGTAGTCCCCGATAACCTGGAGGGCATGAGCAGCTCCCATTGATTGGATTGCAGATTCCATCATTGTGACAAGTACAACGATTCTTGCATCCAAGTCCCCAGCGATCTCTTGGACAAGAATTTCCACACACGTCTCCCTAGATGAACCCAGATGATTTAGAAAATTTGACAAGTTCATCAGTATAGATACGAGTTTCAATGAGACAAAAGGCCTATACCATCCAGCCTTCAGTACAGTTGCACTTTCCTGTGATATGATCGCAGGTTCCTCCATTCTGACAATTGCACACAGATGCACACTGTTCTCCATGAGTACCTTCTGGACATGGGTCTTCACACCTGGACATGATGACCATCACATTGAGCAGCAATTAGCAAGTTCCTACATTTCTCCAAAGGAACCTTCATGAGGAAATGACTCACAGTGGTCCAGTCCACCCAGCAGCACAAGAGCATGCCCCAGAAATGGGATCACACTTAGCGCCATTCTTACATCGACATGTCTCCTGACACTCCAGTCCATAAGTCCCATTGGGGCATGGTGCCTCACAATGTGTTCCAGACCAGCCTTCAAGGCAGGTGCAGTTTCCATATAAAGGGTCACATCTGGCTCCATTTTTGCATTCACAATTATTCTGACATCCAGCTCCCCACTTTCCATTCTCACAAGCTGCAAAATATGCCAAGTACAAATTTAAGAGCTTAGTCAGTCTTCAGGAAGAGTGAAACAAACAATAACACAGACCTCAAGTCATTCCTATAGATGACTATGCCCAACTATCAAGAATTATCATACCATATCGGGAATTGTAAAGAAAAATATATTTGCTCATTGACAGTCCAACAAGAGACAATAGGATTATTATATGCATAAGACATCAATTTTCTGCTCCCAAATATCCAGACTTTACTTGATAATTGATTTGACTTTTCTTTGCATCACATCATGATACATGAGGATGTGCATAAGGAGATACTTTAGATTAGGAATGAGCAACCTGCAGCCCACAGGCCGCCCATAAAGTCTTAGTGTGTGGCCTGCAGGACTTTGCCAATTGAATTTTTCCCTGTCATCTGCCATCCGGAGTAGAGCGCATGTGTGCTCAAGGATTCTGCTGTCCACTGCAGAAGTTAAAGCAAGAAATAAAACATAAAAGCTTCATTTCTGCCACAGCTGCATGTATTCCCTCACTCTCTTCTTGGTCAGTGTATCACTGCTCTCTGGAATTTTGCTCAGTAAAAAGGTGAGAAATAATTATATAAATCAGTTATTTGCATATATTATACCTGGTTTTCTAAGCCAGGCTTAGAATTATTTTTGTACTCGGCAGGCATGAAGCCTGTAACTCAGTATTTAAAAAAATGTATATATATACATGCAACCCACTGGGAACCTAAAAGGTTCACTTGCACCCTACAGTCAATAAAGGTTACTCATCACTGCTTTAGATGATTACTTCTCAGCAGCCTTGCTCACCCACAGGTGAGCAGGCATTCAGTAGCCTCAACAACTCCATATACAAAAAAAAAAAAACACTTTTCAGATGAAAAAGTAATGATTGGATGGTTCTGATGAAATTTTGAGAACCAAAATAAGAGAAGAACCTTCCTATGGATACATTTTCCTAATACAAACTGCCTGACTGGTAAAGGTCTCTCAATGCCCTGGCTCAAAACAGGTAAAAATAATTGCATCAATATAACTGTAAACAGAACCTCCTTTGCCATCCACCCAGTGGCAGAACTGATTGTTTCAAGCAACTATGGTCTGGCTACATCTGCATCAGCAGTCAATCTTATATCAGCATCCATCTAGAGAGCCACCATGTAGAAGATAGAAATAGAAAAATCCTTACAAAAGTTGCAGGTAGGACCTCCATAGCCTGGGTAACATTTGCATGTTTCAGGCTTCTCACAAACTCCATGCATACAAGGGTTGCTACATAGTGGCTTACATTCTCCCTCTTCTCCAGCCTCCACATATCCTTTGCAACATACCTCAATGGTTTTCGTCTCTGCCACAGCCTGCAATAAAAAAATTTAAAAGAAATCAATAGTAGAAACCAGAAAGTTGTACAGGTGCCTCATGTGATCCAATATCTAGGATATAACCATCATACTAACCTCAGTCTTGTAAGCAACCTTATGTTTGATCTTGAACTTCGAACATCTTGGAGGAATAGCAAAGCACCATGTGTAGGTCTTCACCTGGTATGGCTGCAGATATGTAACTCGGACTGACTTGATTTGCCTGAAGTGTAGCAAGGGTAAGAGTTCATTTGAAATTTAACTTAATTTAATTTCTTTAATTTCAATGTAAGTACACTAAGGACTGCATTCAACTTGGCTAAGTAAGTCAGCAGAAAACAGCAAATATAATAGTGGTGAAAAACCTGGAGTAATAATAAACAAACATTCTACTAAGAGGAAGTACTCACGTCTCCTGTTTGGTGCATATGTTCGGCCCCTTCAGTGCCAAGGTGCAATGGAGAATGAAGATGGAAAAGAGAAGTCCTACAACCAGATTAGGCATTTTGAAATTTCTTTGTCTTAACATGAGCCTCTTCACTGCTATCACTATTCCCCTTGCATAATGATCGATGACACAGAATGATCACAGTCAGCATATGCCACAAAAGACCTTCATGAAATACAGATGTCCACAGTTGAGGCTAATAAGTCATGGCTCTGTAGTACTACCAGCAGTGCACTTTGCACCCTTCTAGGCCAGAGCCTTTTCATCACACAATGCACAAGTAGAACAGTAGGTTAAAACCTGCCAAATAAATACAAAAAGCTTTAGTCTATGGCTATATATACAAATGGTTCAAACCACAATTCAACACATTATTTGAGTAAAATGGAAGGAGAGTGATGTAACTAACCCTATTACCTTTGAACAAAGAGAGGCCTAAGCTCAGACTCATACAACCGATAGGCTTGGCCCTAACAGCTGATAAAAACTATGCAAGTTTGACAGAACAAGTTGCTTGAAATGGGGCAACATCATTTCTCATTAGAGACTGACATTCTAGGCAAAAATACACAGTACTATGAAAATACATGTTCCTTTTGCATTTGTGTGGAACTTATGGCCATGGTTTATATAGATGGTCAGATGAGTTTGCGAGTTTTAATTTTAACACAAATGCATGTACTTGTCCTCTTTCATTACAGTTTATCCAAAGGGACTGTCTTCATCATCATTGCTAGGTTAGCCCAATAATTTCTTAAGCCAAGTTTCATGCAGTTTGGAAGCAGAGCCATGGAATTTAGGTTAGACCAAATTGAACTCTGAAAAGCAGCATAGCTCTGCAACAAGCAAGCATGAAAGGTAACCTGGGATATAGCTAAGATCCTGATTATTAGTTACTTGCAAGAATTAGTCACCAGAGCTACACTTAAAAAAATTAGTTTCATTATTTAAGAAATTGACAGACTTGGTTCAGAGTGAACATCAAAAACCAATAAATATAGATGTTTCTTGCAGTCAAACTTCAAGTACTTAAATAGAATCCACTATTATATATAAATAGTGCTTGGAGGGGTTAGCAATCACAATTTTGATGTAACACCTCTGTTTCCCGTGTGAAAATTTCATAAGACCATTTATGAAATGGCCATATATTTTGCCAATCTAACACATATGGTGCACATATGAAGATATAGTGCAATTCATATATGAACATATGTGAAATATATATGGGGTTTGAAAAGTCTCATAAAATCATATCAGAATGAAAATATATGCCCCAAAACATTTTCATATATTGGCTGATACAAATGCACCATATGCTGTCCATATATACCATGTCAGTATGGTGAGATTTGCTAAAACATGCCTGTATCCTAAAAGGGTCCATAATCCGTCAAATACTGTATAATCATTCATATGCAAGTCACCATACTTTACTTACTTTTCTTGCAATCAACTCATTTTTAATTGTTCATAGACCATAGTCAATTACTTCAAGAACTCATGTTTCATGGTGTTCAACATATGTACCCTTGTTACTGAAGGTGAAAGTTTCAAATATTATAGACTTAATTCTTCACAAGTATTTTCAGCAGTAATGCTATTTCATGACAAAACTTGGCTTACTCATGTAGGAATGTCTCCTTCATTTTGACTGACAACTCACAAGACAAATGGAAACAATGGTTTTTCTTTCTGAAATAATTCAATGAAGGAATGGTCCTAAGAAGAAATGGTTCAATAAATCAAACCGAGTTACAGTTGGGAGATGTGTCTTTCTTCAGTTCTTTTTGTGTCACATCTCACACATACATGTGTTGTTCATGGGTGGGGGGAGGGGGGGAGAGCAGCTGCCCCCCTGGCATCCCTGCTCTGCTGCCCTGTATCCTGGACTCTTCAAGCAAAATATGCACTGACCTCATGCTATGTTTTACTTACAACCATAAGACTCGTCTATGGATATTCACTGCATATCAGACATGATGCCATTAGCCCATTACACTTAATATTGTAATGCAGGTAAAATATATTATATGCCATACAAATGATAATACATATACAGGGTGTTCATATTGAAACACAACATAAGAAATATGTTGCCATCTCAATGGGGCTGCAGTTCATCAACTTCACATAAAGTTGAGAAAGTGGTATTGAAAATGTATGTATGTATGTATGTGGAGTTTGGCCAATGCTACAAAGCCAACAGGCTTGCATACCTACAAGGAAACACACCAGTGATTATTTTTAACCTTACAAATATACAACCCAGTGAGCTATAAGGTACTCGCTGAACTCCACAAACAGGCCACAAAATTTTCTCTATGTTGTGTTTAAATACAAACACCCTGTGTGGTGGTATATGGCAAATATATGCTCATACATGGCCAAATACTATCATACACCCTGTCATATACTGAATTTTCATGTGGGTCTCTGCATGTTGGGTAAATTCTTTGCTCTGGTCATCCCAAACAGGGAAGATGGTCAACCTACAATTTCGTGACTTTAGTGGAGACATATCAGATTGTGCTATTCTTATCTAACGGGATTAACAAGTATGAGAATAAGGGAATCACTCCCTTCCAAACCCAATTTTCTCAGATGTGTCTAGTACCTAAGCAAGGTCTACTAATTATTATTATTTATTTAAATAGCAGCTATCTAGGATAGCTGTCAATGCCCATTGGCCAAGTTATGACAGTGGTGGAAGTTCAGCAGTATGAATCTTGGAAAGAACCTTTTTTTTCTGAGTGCCTTTGATTTTGAAAAGGAGGTTAAGAAAGGTATTCAAATATTTATGCATATTCAAATATTAATTCATCAGTATATTCTGTCACTCCATCAATGTGCCATGACAAGACAAATAGGAAATGCCAAGGGAGATTCCTTCCATCAAAAATAGGCCTGATAATTTTTGCTTGACATTGACAAGGGGTGCCCTAATAGGCAGAAATGCCTCTTGGCATCCCTACCTGAACCTTGAAGGAACAATGGCACCAGTAACCTACTTAAATTGCTTCCAATTAAAAAAAAATCCAACTTTGCCCTCTGTGAGCTGCTCCAGACAAGGGTTTGTCCTCAAAATCAATTTAGATGAGGTTTGCACAACAAAAAAAATTTGGTACAAGATTAGATAGACCCAATTAGATAGAATATATTTCAGTGGAATAAAAATATTTCTCAAAAAGATTGTTACAAACAATAAATTTATCTGTTGAAAAAAGTGTTGTAGAATGTGTACTTGGTAATTATGCATGAATATATTGACTACTGTCTGGTAATCTTGAACCTAGCATCAAAAGCTCATACTCACAAAATTCAAATAATGAAACTGGGAAAAAATGAAGCAATTTCATATCAGAGGGAAGACCAATTGCTTTTTTCTTTTAGCTGTGAAGTATGCCCATGTTGGAAAAAATTATTTTAACAGTCCTTTCACATCAAAGCATATAGAGTGCTGAAAAAGGGTAGTACTACATTTATATGATCAACATGACCATGGAACAAGATGCTGTTGTTTGACCATCAAGATACTGTAAACAAGGATAAATTATATCTTCTAATCAACTACAGCTGCCCTAAGTCGAGTATTTAAAAAAACTTTTCCAGTATAAATGTAAAACTTACCATCTAATAATCCAAGAGAGTAGTCAAGACATATCCCATCAGAAAGAAGCTCTTTGGTTTATGTTTGGGAGATAAGCTGCCCTTCTGAGGTCATTTCCTGTTATTGACATCAGTAAAGGGTATTCTTTTACTCTTTTCTGGAGGCACTTACCAAGGATGCATTTGCAGCTAAATTTATAAGACTAAAGTAGTGGATCAGTCTTCGTGTGGGAAGTTTGATATTCATGGCAGCACAATTTTTTTTAAATGGATCTACAGGCAGAGGCATTGGTGTTGGGTAGTTCAAGAAAACTGTGTTTCGTGTAGGAAGGGTACAACTGGTTTAGGCCTAGTTATTGAGGGAAAGTAGGTGTGGTAATGCCAGAGTACAATATCTCTGGGAAAACAGGGCAGGACCCGAGGGTGCCTTTAGCTTAAGCAACGTTAGACAATCAAGACCAAGCCAATGTAGGCAAGACCTGCAATTCCATACTAAAGATATGATAGACTAACATAGGTCAATGGGTCGAGCCTACCTTGCGATAAACGATTCCCCCACGTCCCCAGCGGAGTGGGCATCGGTCTCGCAAGGCCTACTGCTCGAGTAGGCTATGCATGGGCCTAAGGAGCGATAGTTCAAGTCCAAGTTCAACTATCCACTGCCTCCGAGTTATGCCTGAATGGATGTGTGTTAGTAAACAGCTCGAGAAGACCTACTTCCTCGGGGCATGACGTCGTGCACCAAGCTTATAGAGGGAAGCACCACCTGCTGGGGAATAGGAATACTTGGAGAGCAGTCCCTACCCCGAACACATACTCGACGAAAACTACTGCCGAACTGACGAGCAACGTGAAGTATGATGGGAGTAAGGTGGGGGGGGGTATTTTTTCAGAAACGTGGATGAGTCACCCTGGACTGTGATGAGGCCTGTCATGAATTGGGTTGTGATACAGAGAAAGCCCAGTCCTACATATCCACGTCATAGAGGATTTTTGTGAGGCAGATGAGCTTCCGCAACCGGACAAGGAACAACTGTCACCGTCGGCTTTCACTCTGTGTTCTCTCTCTCTCTCTCTCTCTCTCTCTCTCTTCCATTTGTAGAGTAGGTGAGATTTCAATGGCAAGGTCATCCGGGGAGCTCTTTCGCATGCTACAGAAATGCCCAAGCGAATGCTTGAACATTTCTGTAGCATGGACCGGAAACCACTTGGTTCCGGGTTTATCTTTCACTCTTCTCATTGCGGTACTGTAGCTTGGAATGGGCGAAACACACCACAATCTCTGGGCAACACAAATGAAACTAACAATGCCGCTCGGGCTAACAGTTCGTACATCACTGAAAATCGCCAAGACTTTCGATTACCATATTCTACATGGCATTAAACCGCTTGGCACACATCCGGGAAGGGCGGCCCATAGTCCAGCGCCTGACCCACATTTTTGTCCAGCTCTTGCAGCCGGCGAGGCCTCGTACATTTCATGGGATTCCTTGATATATCAGGTGAAACACTACATCAAACTACGTTTTCATAACTGACTGCGGTCACTTGTTGCTAACTGGTTCGTCTTGACAGCGCCGTCTAACTAGATGCTGGATTTACACTAACATAAATTATATCAATTTATAAAATTAAATTACATATATAATAGCTGTCATGAAATATGGACGTGAAAGAAATCTGGTGAAGCGCACGATGTAAATAGGGTGAGAGAAG